CGCCCGCCCTGCCGCTGCGCTCCCCCGGCTCGGGGCTCACGCTCCCTCGCCCTGCGCCCGGCCTCCCTGCCCGGGGGTCGCGGGGCTGTGCGAGGGCACCGCCGCCGCAGCGGGGCCCAGCCCGCGTCCCTGCCTGCGTGCGGGGCGGCAGCCCCCAGCCCAGGTGACCAGGTGACCCCGCCGGAGAGCTCGCAGAGAAAGGAGCGAGCTTGGTGGCAGCGGGGGTAGCGCTGATCCGCCAGCTGCCCGGAGCCGAAGCCCTGGCGTTTGGGGAGGCTCCGCCAGCCTGTGAGAGCAGCCCCGCTGCCTCCAGACCCCCGGCTGGCGGCCTCCATGGTTGCCTGGCTCCGCCAGCCTGTGAGAGCAGCCCGGCTGCCTCCAGACCCGCGGCTGAAGTCTCGGATGCTGCCAAAAAGAGCAGGACCTGCCCCCTCCCCACAGCCCTCCCCTGCCAGCTGGGGTGGGGGACTGATCTGGCCTTAGACTAATCCTACAAAAAAACCAAACAAAAAGGAAAAAAAAGCCCGTGTTTGCCTAAGCACTGATGTTGTGGGGAGGGGGCAGGGCTGCCCCTTCTGCCTGGCTTGAGGATCAGCCAAACAACTGTGAAACTTTCCTTCCTCTGTCTCCACCAGCATGTTTATGTTGTTCTTAGGGAGGCGAAGGTCCTAAACGGTGTTGGGTAACACAAAAGCTCTTTAAGCCAGGAAAGTGAGCAGAAACTGCTCGCTGGTTAAGCCCTGGCTGTTCCTCCAGATACAGAAAGCGCTCGGCCCAGGTGCTGGCCTCCTGGACGTCTTCCCCAGACCAGGGCACTTGTCTCAACTGCCCCTGGCCCGGCACTGCCCTCCCTAGCTCCTCTCGTTAGCGGGTATCGCTGCAGCCGTGGAAAGGGCTTTCCGGAACAGTCTGCCGAGGCTTGCCACATTCCAACGGCAGCGATGAAGTGGCTAACATCGGGTCTTGGTCAGGTACAAGACTGGTTTTTCTGCTTAGTTGTCCTGTAGCTTTGGGCGCAGGCGACGTACAGCTGTAACGCGAGGTGTTGGGGTTCCCGAGCGTGGAAAGCCGAAATTATCCCCAGCTCGGTCTGAATTCAAAGGTATGAAATGACACCACTCTTTGTTTTGTTGTTTGGGTTTTTTTCCCCATCTGAAAAATGGGGCTAAGGCTTCCTGCCTTGCAGGAAGAATTAATAAGTGTTGCTGCTCCAGAAACGCTTGCTGCGAGGGATAATTGCTCTCGCTCCCTGCGGAGCCTGTCCTTAGCAGAAGAGTGAAGCCACATCCCGCTCGGCCACGTTGGCCCTCGCCAGCTGCCCGCCGTGGTTGCGCGGGGCAGAGCCACCCAAGGCTGCCTTTCCTGTCCTAGGCGGTGTCGGCAGAGCCGGCGGCGCGATGGCTGGTTTGGCGCAGCGGGCGCGTGACTGGGAATTCCTCGAGAAGCCCCTTCCCGCGCGCCGGGAGGCAGAGGCCTCTGGAGGGGTCGCGCCTGTCCTTGCTCGTGCTGAGACGTCCAGGACGTGCCTTCTGCGTAGAGCCGGAGGGTGGTCTCTGCGGGGGCTGCCGGCCCAGGGGACGTTTTGTTGGGAGCAGAATTGTCTCTGAATTGTAGTTAAATCGTCTGAGTGGTTTCGACCGGGGAGATGAGGAAAAGTTTGGGAAAATCCAAAACACCCGTTTGATTCTCTCAATGCGCAACAGCTTAATGGTTTCTGTTTGAAAGAGATGGGTTCGTTTTGAAATTGTTTGGGGATTTTTGAATTTGGGATAGGGATGAAATGTTGCTTTCCCAGCCAGAAACACTCCACAACCTCCCTGTTTCACCGACCGAGCTGAGAAGATGAGCAGCTTGGCTGCTCGAGAGCCCTGCTTACCCTGCATGCCTTCCACGTGCGTTAGGGTGCTTCTGCATGAGGGTCTGGGCCTTGATCTTTTCACTGTGTTACCCGTTCGTTTCAGCTTTTGGCGGATTCTTTGGCGTTTGCGCAGAAATTCGTGTTTCCCCCTTAAAGTTTGTGCTATAGAGGAACGATTGGGGTTGTTAGGATCTGGTTCGGGAGAGAAGCAGACTGTGGTGGGTGGAGGAGTCCTTTTAATTCTTGTACGCTCACTGCAGGGGTGCCTGTGTTGTGAATGCTTATTTCATTCAGCTGAATCACTTGCGCAGTCACACCTTGTCTAAACAAGGCTCGGGGATGCCTGAAGCCCGAAAATGTCTCGCTAGGTGATAGGAGCCAGTGCGGGTTTGATCCTCGCCCTCCAGGCTGCTCTGGCTCGGCTCTGATTACAAACGCTGTTGCCGGAGAGCCGGTGGTGACTGGCATCGCACGTCATGAGATAAGCTGCCGCGTTCCTCGCTGAAAGAGTCCTCCCCAGCCGTGAAAGGACAGCCTCTCTGTTTGGGCTGCTGCTGGTGGTATTTTTTTTTTTTTTTCCCCCCTCCAAGTAGCTCCGATGCCATCGGCTCATCTGCTGTGTCTCAGTCGAACGGTCTGAAGCCACCTCAGCCCCGCCTGCGGGAATTTTTATGTTTTTATCCCCTAGACCACAGAGCCGTGGTCTGGAATCGGGTAAGTCTTTTCATCGGACAGGACCCAGAGGGCTGACGGAGCGATCGGCGCCGCACCTGGAGATCCGGCTCCTCCCTCCCAGATAAAGCAGAGGGCCGCGGAGCTGTGCTGGCTCCTGGGGAAGCGCTCTGCAGCGACCGGAGTCCTCTGCCCAAGGGCACCTCTCTCGCCACCGCCTTGGCAGAAAGCAGCTCCTGCTGCTCCGGGGCTGAGGCTGGTCCCTGCAGAGTCCGAGGCCTATATTTAATTGGGTCTACTCCGTGACCGTAATGTGTCACATAAAATTCTGTTTACTGTCCTCTTGGCGTTCTTTCAGACACTTGCTGGGTATGTCAGCTTTCGTGATAGGGCGCCTAGTTGTCTAACTGTGTTTGTGGTATTCGAGCACGAGGAGAAGCCCAGGTAAAGCACTTAGTGCAATCCGTTGGGGAATTAAGATGATGGGATGTAGCGTCCTCTCTCTGGCTGCTGGGGGTTTCCGCGTTGCAGTTTGCCAGCGTGTCTGTAACGGCCCTCCTGAAGGCAGAGTTCTGCGTTCAGCTCTCCAGAGCAGCTGCAAGAGAACTGCATTTCTTTTGTCTTCAGCTTTTCGGCACGACCGTTCAACGTTTGTAAATGTTACAGGCAAGATAGCGCCAGCAATGCCAGGCTCCTGAGCGCGGAAAGGAGCTGCTGTTTGTTTTTCCAATAACCAAGCACGTTTATCACTTTTTTTTTTTCCTACTTTCTTAGCTACATAGAGATTGCAATTTCTTTGTTTTCTGATGAGTTGAAAAAACCTATGCGTGACCCTTCCTTCATGTGACTTAAGTTTGGTTTTTTTGGTTTTTTTTTTCCCCCCCAAACTCCAGAGATCCAAGATTTTGCACTGAAAAAGAGGTGCTTCTGAGATGGCCTTTACCTCTGGTGAGGTCTACGTCAAGCATTGTCAAAACTTACACGCGAGCTGATTGGTGCTTTTTAGTAGTTATAGTTTCTCTCGATAGAGGTAAACTTGTTGGTATGCAGAGTTCAGCTCGTGTTGCTCGTGAAGACGTGTTTCTGCTCCCGGGTTTTTGAAGTGCGTGCCCTTTTTCTTGTACGTGGGCTCCTTTTCGGAAGACGACTTTGCTCTCCCCGCAGCGTGCACGTCCTCCGTGGCCCCACCGTTCCCCACGTGGGTCTCGGGGCGCTCTCTTGCCTGTGCGGAGATTTGAGCGTAGCTGGGAAAAGAGCAGTAACGTCGGCGTAACGTTTCTGTCTCCTGCCTAAAGTCGGCTGCTGCGCCGGTTGGGTTGGAAGCACGTGGCACGTGCTCGCAGTGGAGCCGCACTTGAAGCGGGTCTCCAGCGAGCGTTTTCTGTGTCGCTGTTGACAGACGGGGAGAGTTTCTGTAGGCAGCTCCAGTTCTGCCCGAGTGCTGCTTGGGAAAGGGCCCTGAACCGTAGCATTGCAGTGCAGCGGTTACCCAGGTTTTCGGAGCAAGCGTTTCCACGCTTACCGCAAGTACATCAGCTCCTGGAAATCGTCCCAGGTCTGGGAGATGCAGATGACTGGAAGTGCGCTGGTGAGGGTCAAACATTTGGTAAAGATACTACTTTGCTTCGCTAGCGTTCGGGACAAGCACGCGGTGTGGTTATGCGTTAGCTTAGGAAAGTTAAATAGGTGATTTGCAAGTGAGATGCAAATGAATTACAGAGCAGAGCTTGCGCTGAACCCTGGAGGGACCCGGCCGTGAGATGCGCTGCCTGATGGCCGTGGCTGAAGTCCACTGCCATCGGGGCTGGCCGTTTGTTTTCCCCTTCCTCCGGAGCTTTGCTTAATGCGCTGGTTACAACAGACCTTGCCAAGTGGTCGCGAAATAATGGCTCAGGCAGTCCTTGCGCCGTGAACTCGTGGCACCTCCCAGCTGCTGCTGCTGGCTGCTCCCCTGCCCCCAGTCGGATGACCTCTTTGTTTCAGCCTTTCTCACCCCCAGCCCCCCCAGGATGATGAGTTGTGATAGTGCTGTTATTGTCTGCTATTAGATGACAAAGTGCTCAAGAACACAGATATTGCACTGGGAGCGGAGGAGGAGCAATATCCTTACATGCCAACAGTATGTCTCTGTTGACTCGCAGCTTTCCCGAACAAAAGATCTTTAAAATGTCTGTTACTTAGCACTGTAAATGAATTGCCGAGCGTAATCGCGCTGTAGACAAGACGTAGACCGAAGACTCCCCAGCGCTAGTGAGTACCAAGTCAGAACCTCACACGGTGGCCTTACCTGTTGCTCAGCCGTTCTGGACGGCACTCGGCTTTCTCTGCCGTGGCGGATGCGCTGGGCCCGTTCCCTGAAAGGCGCCTTCCTAAAAGCAAGGCTCCATCCGCAGGAGGCACGCGGTGGGCTCAGTGTTGGCTCGTGGGATGCAGTTTCAGCGCGGTGGGGGTTCGTCTCGCACAGTCATGGCTGACCTCTCCTCCAGGCCATGTTCCCGCCGAGGGGACGCAGCGGCGGCGCTGCCAGCCCTGCTGCCCGGGGAAGCAGGAGAGCCCTGCTCGGCCCCTGCTGTGCCAGGGCACGTCTGAGCGACAGGGTTGAGCATCCAGCGCAGTGCCTGGATGTTTGCTTCGTGCTGGAGGGACGATGACAACGGGATGGTGGCTTCGCTGAGCAGACATCTCATGCGCTTCAGTGAACGGTGGCTGAAGGAGCTAGCGTTAATATTTCCTTGTGTGAGGTATCTTTTCCCCATCAGACAGGAGAGCAGGCCTCTGGTGTTTTCTGGGGCTTTGTCCCTGTCC